CCCGGGGGGGGGGGGGGGGGGGGGAACGGAGCTGCCTGGCTTCTTCCACGGCCCCCTCCGGCCCTCACATCCCTGAGGCTGGGCTACCACGCGCCCCACCCCTCAGGCTTCAGTGGGGAGACTGAGGCAGGAGAGGAGGGGCAGCTGGCTCCGGTCACGCAGCGGAGCCAGGATGAGAACCCAGACCCCGCTGGCGGCCCCGTCGGGACTCAAAAGACTCTGCCCCAGCCCCGCTTCCCTGAGCCTGGCCAGACCCAGGCCTCCCGCAGACCTCCCCTCCCTCGGCCTGCCTGCTCACCTTGAAGATGCCCCCCTTCTGCCAGGCAATCTTCTCCACCGTGTCCCCCAGAAGGCTGGTGTGGTCAAGGCCAAGAGAGGAGACTCCACACACCACGGGCTTGCTGCAGAAGACCCCCCAGGGCTGTGAGCCCCATCCCGAGCCCCTGGGCCGCGGGCGAGGCCAGGGCTCCCGGCTGCCCTCACGCCCGGCAGCCGCCTCACCTGACAATGTTGGTGCAGTCATAAGCCCCGCCGATGCCCACCTCCACCACCGCCAGATCCACCTGTTGAAGACCGGGGGCATGGCAGGGGGCACGGGGCGCCCGGATGCCACAGGGGAGCAGGAGCCCTTGAGCCTGCCAAGACTCCTGTGCCCGAGGCCTCAGGCCCAGGGCTCCACGAAGGGGTACGCACCTTCTCCTGGAGGAAGACGTGGAAGGCCATGAGCGTGAGGAAGCGGAAGTAGGGCGGCATGGAGACACAGCTGTCGTCCTGGGGAGGGCGGGTGCGTCAGGGCTCTGCGGCTCGGAGCCCCCGGCCCGGCCCTGGGGATGGGGTGCCGGGAGGTGCCACCCTTGCCAGCCCCCCATGGCACCTCGGTCTCCTCCAGCCGGCGGTAGAGGCGCCAGAAGTGCTTGGTGAAGAGTTCAGGGCTGATGGGCTGCCCATCGATGCGAATCCGCTCACGCACCTGCACCAGGTGGGGAGAGCTGCCGGGAGACCTGGCTCGTCAGGGATCCTTCCTGAGCCCCTTCCTGCCTCGCTCTGGGGGGCTGACGAGACAGCCGGGCGGGTCCCAGGGTCCCAGGCCCTCTGCACTCCCTACACTGCCCCCAGGGCCCCCTTCTGTCTCCAGGCCTTTGCACTGCCCACCCCCTCCTCACCGGCTCACCCTGCTCACTGCACAGGTCTCAGCTAAGACAGCCCCTCCCCAGAGAGGAGGATTCTTTTTTTTTTTAGTCAGAGTCTCCCTCTGTCACCCAGGCTGGAGTGCAGTGGCATGCTCATGCAGCCTTGACCTGCTGGGCTCAGGCGATCCTTCGGCCTCAGCCTTAAAGTAGCTGGGCCACCACGCCCAACTTATTTTTGATTTATTGGAGAGACGAGGTCTCGCCAAGTTGCCCAGGCTGGTCTGGAACCCATGGGCTCAGGCAATCCTCGCTCCTCGGCCTCTCAAAGCGCAGGGATTGCAGGCTTGAGCCACCATGCCTGGCCGAGAGGAGGGTTCTCATCGCAGGCTGGCCTAGCACAGACTCTGGGCTCCAACGGGGACCAGTCACGGCTACCATCTGCCCCACAAGGTCTCCCGTCTTTCAGCCCCCAGGGGCGAGGCTCGTCTGTGTTCAAGCTGCAGCCCCAGGCTGGCCCACGAGGCCACATGGGCCCAAGTTGAAAGCCAGGGTTTTTTTTCTTGTTTTGAGGCGGGATCTTGCTCTAGTGCCCAGGCTAGAGTGCAGGGGTGTGATCACAACTCATTGCAGCCCTGATTCCCGGGGCTCGGTGATCCTTCTGCTTCAGAAGGATCTGAGTTCCAGGTAGCTATGTGTCACCATGCTTGGCTTATTTTTAAAAATTTTTGTAGGCCAGGTTCCATGGCTCAGCCTGTCATCCCAGCACTTTGGGAGGCCGAGGCGAGTGGACTGCCTGAGCCCGTGGGTTTGAGACCAGCCCGGGCAACTTGGCGAGACCTCGTCTCTACAATAAAATCAAAAATCAGCCAGGCGTGGTGGTATACGCCTGTAGTCCCACCTACCCGAGAGCCTAAGACTCAAGGAATCTGAGCCCAGATCAAGGCTGCGATGAGCCATGATCGTGTCACTGCTCTCCACCCTGGGGGACAGAGTGAGACCTCAACTCAAAAAATGAAATAAAAATAAAAAATGAAATTACATATGGAGTTGAAGTTCTTATAAAGGCTTCTGACTATCCCAGTGGTGTATATGGTTAGATGTTCAAGTTGCTGCCCCTCGCCCAGGTTTTTCATTATGAAAACTAAAGAGCAGCGTTAACATGGGCCACCACAGTGTTATCGAATGAATAAGCACCAGGCAGAGAGACGTGCAGCTGACCTCCTGGGGACCATCCACAGCTCCCCAGGGTCCTTAGGGACAGGGCCCCCACATCCCTCCACAGCTCAGTACCTAAAGAATCCAGTCTTCAGACCACAGCTTCGGAGGATACATTCCGTGAAGGCACAGGTGGAACCCTTGAAAGAAAAGGTGCTGTGGGGGGGGCCCGGCCCACCAGGCAGCCCCCTCACCCCGGGAGCCTGCCCCTCACCTTCCCCTTGGTTCCAGTGACATGGATGATGTTCAGCCGGTCCAAGTCCTCCACCTGGGACAGAGACAAGGGCCCTGGCTCAGCTGCACGACTCACAGACAGATGAGGGGGCGGGTGGCCACAGGCTCTTCCTCACCTGCAGCCCGCTCCGTGCCAGGTACACTTTCATGGCTTCCAGCTGTGTCTGGGGGTCGCCACGCTGGCGCTTCGCCTGCTCCAGGTAGCCAGCGTTGGTCTGCAGGGTGTTGAGCATGCGCACGGCATCCTGACAACCAGTTTCCGGGTAGCTGGTTAAGGCTCGCCAAGGGTCCACAAGAACAGAGATAGCAGCACACAGTGGCCAAGCCAGGGCAGCACCTTGTTGCCCCAGCCTACGGGTTAAGCAGCAGCAAGAGAGAAGTGGCATCTTTCCAGCTCCGGCAAAGACAGAGCCTGGGGCAGTCTAGCCACACCCAGGGAGTGTCAGGCAAAGAAGGTGGTGTGACTAACGGACCTAGCCTTATTTCCTGCTCCCGTGGATTTCCCTCCAAGGGGATCCACCACTATGCTGGGCCCCCGAAGGCTGGGGTGTTTGGGTTCTGGAATTTCTGGAGGCTTCCACGCCCAACCCAGGACTCTGGGGTTCCACATTCTGACTCAGAGAAGAGCTGCTGATAGCAATCAGATGGGGAAGAGGAGGCTCAGAGGGAGGAGGAGTGTGCCCCGGGGGTCACCCAGCCAGGAAGGCAGGCAAGAACACCTCAGAGGGTGCACGCTGGGGGTAGGAGGGGTGGGTGCTGTTTATTTCCCCTCAGGCCTCAGATTCCAGTCTCCTGTCCTCAGGGCTTCATGGCTGGCTGGCAGCCCCACCCCATCAAACTGGTACCACCTGCCTGACTGGCATCAGGTTCTGGTCTCTGGCAACTGGCACCTCGCCCACAGAAAGTTTGTTTTCCAGGCTCCTGCCCACCCCCCATTCCAGGCACTTGGATCCCACGTCTTCTGAATCCTGGAGACTCCAACCCCAGATCTATACTCCTGGATCCTGGAAATCCGAACTCCCGAATCCCTGCCCTCCACTCTTCCCCCTCCCCGCTGCCGGTTCGGGCTCCAGGGTCGCG